AAAAGGATTACAAACGACGAACTTTGGGCTATACATTTCAAGATGTGCAAACCGTGACGTATCTCCTTTAAGGCCAGTTCCCTTAATACCAACTGATTTAGCCGTTAAATGACTGTTTTTGATCCACCAGAATTAGCCTTTCATGTTTCTCTGTTGGTGAATTTCTAATTTTCTTGCACATTTTGTTCCAGGTTGAAACTCCTCAGACTCCAAAAGACATGATAATCTCCACTCTTGTGTCAAAACCCAAGGCTGCTTGTTACGAGGAGGCAATTCCGGCGTTAGAGTCTGAAATCACAGTGTTAGTGTTCATCTCTTTTAATGTTGTATTTTTTTCCTTATGTATCCCTCTTTCACATGCCAGTTTTAATCTTGAGTTTTTTCGAAATTGTTTCAAACTTTGTAATTAACATTTTTTAAAAGAGTTTGTCTCTTGAGGTGAACACTTACAAGTAATAGTTCTGATCGCTAAAAGATTATAAAATGATTCGTTTCTGATTCTACCTTTAGCATGAAAGAGAAAGTTGAGCAGCAAGAGATGGAGTTGAATGCGTCGAATCCCAGGGTATTTATGGAAGCACAATCTGCAAGTACAGAGGAGGTGAACTACCTTGATTAACATACATGTTCAGTGGAACCCCGCCTTACGGCTCACCCCGTTCACGGTTCATACGGCCACCTTGTTATTACGACCACTTTAATCTGACCCGGAGACCCGAGCAAAAGCTCAGTCAGTCATTTTCTTATTTAAATTACACCTAATAGCACCTTTAATACGGCCAGAGTTTTGTGGGCCGTTGTTGACCGGATAAACTTTGCGCTAATTTTATTTTTGTCTTAATTTTCCTCGTCAAATGGTGAACTACTTTACGAAGACATCTTTTTGTTTATGGTTTGTGATTTTGTTTATTTGCCATTCAGCTGTTAGCCATGCAAGGCAAAGTTCGTCGCCTTCGTTCAGTGTGCGAGAAAACAAGCAAACGAGAGTGGAAAGAAGGAAAAGGACAACTCAATAAAAGAATACTTTTGAAAATGACGGTTAGGTTTATGTTACAAGTTCTTTTGTTGATCAGTTAATGCAGTTGTTTTATATTTAAAACTAGTTTTTGCACGCGCTGCTCTAAGGGCTGGCTTAGAGAGTAAAACTTTGTCGCAAGTTTACGACAAGTCTTTTGACAAGAAGAATTGTTACGCGTAAATCAAACCTAAAACGTGCTCGCCTATCGTGTAAGTTTAGCCTTAACTTTTCAAGTTCGTCGTTCGCAATCCGTGTCAATCTTCTCCATCCTTGACCATCCTTGTTCCTTTGCGATTTATTAGTATCTCTTTGGTGTCTTTCTATCTTAGCTAACTACTATTTTCAGGTTTCCTTCAGTTTTAAAGTAATTTTATAGGCGGCCAAAATAACTCAAAATACCGTGACTGAGCTCCTTTTAGTCGGCGCTAAGATAATTGACAAAGGGAACAGACTATTAACTCAACAGGCTCCAGATAACCTGGCCGTTTTGGTTTTAAACTTTTTCAGGAAAACCATCAAGTTCTTGCTAGTGATGTGCATGTTGTAGAAGAATCCCTGGTGATGGTTGATGATTGTCACAATTTGCTGGACAAAAGTAAGAGATCAGTGGCAGACGTTTTTCTTACTATTCATGCTTAACGTGTTAATAATTTTATTTTGTTAGTTTTGCTTTTTGGGAACTTGTAATGTAAATAAGAAATAAAATGAGGTGCGGTTTACGAGACTTTTCCATGTTATAAGCGTGAACACATTCACTTTTGGTCCATGTAACTCGGTACATGGTCAATTCAACTCCTCGGAAAAAAATTGTTATGTGTTTTACGAAGTCAACGGTGTTTTTGTTTTCGTATCACCGTGTTGGTGTTAGGGCGCAGTTTTGTCTTCTTTGTAAACCAATATTCCGGTGTCTCTCCCTCACTAACTCTGCCCCACATGCCAGCAAGAATAAGAGCGGTAAGGAAGTCTCCCTCACTAAGCACAACGCTTCTGCTTCAAATTCGATCTGTTATACGGGGCTCTTGAAGAGGTGGTTATGTCTACCGTGCTTAAATAAATGAAACTTCTTGCAGTTTTTCAGATTGACGTCCTCTTTTTAACATGTTTATTTGTTTTCACAGTGGACAACGACCTAGATGAAGGAATTAAAGGTTTTCAACTGTCTCTGGAAGAAAATGAGAAGGTATTACTATACAGCCACGTGAATGGTTCAAATCGTTACGTTTCGGGAAGGAAGGCTTTGGAATTCTGTTGCTTCTGGTTCAGTTAGTGTCATACTTAGGCTCAGTCCACACTACGTTGGAGAAATTTGAAAACCCAGCTTTATTCCTACGGTTAGGCCTACCGTCCACACTAATCCGTCACGAAAACAGAGCTTTTCGAAAACGCTCTTCAAACTGGAGGAATTTGAAAACGCCGGCTTTGCGTTTTCGTTTGGACGGAAAACATTTTGAAAACGGAGCTTTACGAAGACGATGGAGTCACGGTGATCATATGATTTCCCTGACCGAGTTTTTCTCAAACACAAATCCAAAATGACCGGTGATTGTTGCGTTTTTAAATTTTTCCGGCCTAGTTTGGACGAGGCCTTATTGATTTAAGAGTTTAACAGCACGCTRYTCATATGGTTGCCTGTAAGGCATAGATCGATATGAGATCCGTCAATACAGGTTTCACTTTCTTCTGTTGTTACTTTACTGCAACGTACGGTTATTTACCCACCCCGTGAAATGAACATTTCTTTTGTAAACTTAGAAACTTCAAGAGCAAGCAATTACGGCCGCGGAATTGGAGAACATGACAGAAACCTTGAGAAAGAGCGAACAAGGTACAGCACACTTCTTCAGTCAATATACGAATTCTCCTTACCAGTTTAGTAGTGGTTGGGAGAATTTATAGGTTTTATATAAGGCAGATTTCGGAAGACCTTTCCAAAGTCAATTTCCTGATCCTTATCCAATCATTTAACGCTTTAACTTACAAGTGTATGCTGTTTTTCTTACCCGCAGAACTTGCCGACCTGGAGTGTGCAAGGTCAACTGTACAAAGGTGAACTTCTGTTTGACTTTATGAGACTGAGTGTAGTTTTATAACCTGGTGTTGATAAGTGGGTAACGCGAAAATTCATCATTAGTTCATGCTAAACCAAAGTTAAGCGCTAGAGCTGTTTAATCGTTTTCACTCCTCTGGTCTCTACGATGGGAACAGAGCTAGTATTCAACCAAAACGTTCTTGATACTTACAGAAAAGGCTTTATTCTCTGCAGTTAACGCTTTAGGAAACACTTCAGGACAAGACAACCTGTAGCGCAAACATATTAGACGTGAAAATTTTAGCCTTGTCAGAGCAATTCCTGCACCAATTGACAAACTCTTCTTACTAATGTACATAGTTTTTTGGTTGGAATAATTTGTTCAACATTAAAAATTAAAATTAAAAACATTCAGACGATTTCATTTTATTATTTAATTTATTCCCTCAACTGGAAGCTTAATTATCTTTTACTACTGTGAGGAAATGCTGATCACACTTATAAAATTGCCTCCAATGTAGTGAGAAACAGGAACTGTCGAACAGAAAGGAACAGCTTGATGTGGCGATACTAGAGAATGAGGAAGCTATTTGCTTACTTAAAAAGAAGGTACGTTGTGGTCATTGATGCACTGAATACCAATTGAGATGCACAGGACACTAGTTCCGTAAGTTTACTTAGTCAAACGTTTGCATTGCCGTATTGACCGAGCGATAAGCGAGGTAAATACGGCAAGGTCTCTGTTTGAGATTTTCCCGTAAAGACGTCACTCCCGGTTAATAAGTAGTTACCAATAGTATTTGTTACATGTATCCTTCTACTTTACAACAGGACCCAAGATCAGGGAAGACAGCGACTAAAGAAATGTCGCAAAAGTTGGATATCCTTGAAAGGTAATGAACAATTAAAGGCAGCAGGTTTTCGAGAAGACCGGTCCTTCCGTTTGGCGCGAACATATGCTCGGATGTCGTTACGTGTTGTCACACAACGTTCCTTTCTGCTAATTCCGTCACTTCGATGCGAGAGTAACGTTGAGTGACAACCTCTAAAAGTGCCACGAGTGAGTCTAAGCTATAATGTATTTACCCAGATTAAAGCTTTTCTTGCCTTGCATAATTAAACCACCGAAAACGCAATTACCCACAACATAAAACAGGATGTCGAGACTCGTTGGGTTTGCAAACTTATAGCGCTTTCACTAGGCGACGAGTAAAGCCTGCAGTTTGCGTGACTTATCCTCTGCGCATTTTGTAACGCAATTTTGTCGTTCAGTTTGCAGGAATGGTCCCTGGAGGAGTGGAATGAAGAGCGAGCTAGATTTACGTTCTTGAAAAGTACATTGGAAATGGTGGTGTTGTTTGGCTCGGACATCGCTAGTTAGTGTTTGCATAATATTATTTCGTTTTCAAAAGGGGTTGGGATTTTTTGAAGGCTTTGATTTTTTTCAAGTCTCTGGATGTAAAATACAAAACAAGCTTTGTTACAGTGGAGGGTTGTAATCAAAGGAAATAATGCTTTGCATCATAATTTGTTTAAAGGCGGGGTCTTACCTCTAACGTGTAGTGGACGTTCGAGAGGGGAGTGTATAACCTAATCTCTGGATGGGTGAGGTGGGGGCTATTTTCTTACGTATTATCGTTGTAAAAGATTCTGTTTGTATTTTGTTACAGATTCCAAAGACTCGTTTCCAAACCAGGAAGTAAAAAGTATCCAGTTGAATTTCACACCAACAGGTATTTAACTTCTCCTCCTCCGGCTAACAAAGTCCAGTCTTTTACTGAATAGTAATAAGATGTCTGTCATGTATTTTTCAATTTTTTTTTTTTTTTCACGCAGAACAATTCAGGGGGAAAATGGGAAAAGTTCACACACTTGTTAAACAAGCAGTCAATCAAGACCTCCTTTCTCAGATGTGCTCCTCAAAAAGAGACTTAACCAAGGTATTTTAACCGTAAGACCCACCTTGAGGTTAAGAAAGTTCTGCAATTTACAGGGTTGCCAATGGTCAGGGGAAAAATTATTCAAGGTCAGGAAAAGGTTGAGGAATTTTATTTTGAGTCAAGGAAAATTAATATTTTGAAGAAAAGTCAGATAAAATTGAAATAATTTAACACGGCTGATTTAACACCATTGAAGGCTGGTAGAAACATTTGGGGTCACGTGATCTCAACGATATTTTTCCCTAATGAAGGAGGAAAATTTGTTGAAAGCTTATTAGTCTTAATGAATGAGTAGAGAGGGCGGCTGTAAGTTGAGGCCAGAAGCCGCTACTAGGTCTGACGTTTTGTATTTGGGTCAGGGAAATCTTATTTTTATCACTGAAAAGTCACGGAGTTTTGAGAAGTGATGTCTGTGGCAACCATGATTTCAGTCTCTCCTCGTTACATTTGTGTTGTTCAGGTTTTGGAGCACATGTCAGGGACAATTTTCAAGTCAAACGAAATTGGAGAAGAGTTCTTCAGAATTGGCCTGACGCATCTGATGTCATTCAAAGAAAACAGGTAATTATTTGAAAACAAAATTAAAGTGTATACCTTAAAAAACGAAAAGACAATTTGATGTCGTTTGTCGTAATTTCCTTGTTCGTCTCTATACGCAAAGGTATTTTTGGCAAGGCTTAAGTCGATGTTAACTGAATATGCAATTGCTAAAAAAACATCCTATTTGGTAATTTCTCTTGCAACTCAATTTTGTTTCACTCTGGAATTTATTGCAACTTGGTTTGCGACAAAATTGCGAGCCAAGTCAGGGGCAAAGTCAATGGGGTAAAATGGGATAAGCGCTCACTCCATGTCTGCCATAAAATTTTTAGTTTGTTGCTGGTTTTCTCAGTCGTTTAAAAAGCGTTGTGCAAAATGTTGACCAATCGACGTGCGACATCACTTCTAGGTGACCAGTTACGGTAAACCTGCCTGGCGCGCGTTCTGCGATGACGTCCGCAGGAAATTAAAAATGTGACCATAGTGGATCTCCCGCAACTGTAAAGAATCGCTTTGCATAGACGGCGTCTTTTTCCACGCACATGCACACTATAAAGGATTGTTTTTGCCGTTTCATTGCAGATTTGTAGTGGAATTCTCGAGTCTCAGGGCGTTCGTGAAGTTTGTGCTACACATACAGCTTGAGCTTCAATCATACCCAGACAGTGTGACATTTACGGTCTCGCCCATGATAGGACGTCTCAGGTTTGCATTCCCAGTGATGTGTTTTTTAATTGCTCTATTTTATTCAAACATCGGAAATCGATGAGCACGTGAATTAAAAGTTTCGCTGTCGTGAATAGCTTCTGGTCACCATTCTTTGTTCTTACATGGATTTTTGTAAAACAAAACTCTATGGTTTTTGCATCAAATCCATATCCAAGTATTACAGTTAACCCTGGGGGCGGGCGATCCTGTAGAGATTACTATACCTAAGCTAGCTTATGTCCTCTTTTCCTTGCAGCCAAACAGAAATCGAAGAAGCCTTGAACGCTGTCGCGGCTGGCCCACGGTATTTGAGCAGATTGGTGGAGGCCGCTGACCAGCTATTAAGCAAGACCAAATCCATTTAAACATGTCGTCATGGAACTGTCGTTTCTTGTTTAGAACGAATGTTGTAAATACATTTATCTGTTAACTTTTTTTACACTCATCCACTACTAATTTATTACTTATGCTATATTTCCCAAGAAGTTATAATTATACTTCTCTAGGTTTATTTTGGGTCGGTCTTTGATGAAGTAAGTTGAATATGAACATTGTTTTAAGCACGTACCCAGTGTTGTGGTTACTTTAACACTGCAACATGCTTATATCTCACTGAACTAATGTGGAGAGATGTACGGAAGATTTTCATTTCTGCATTTGAAACAATATTTGGGTGAACTCGTACAAGCACTGTAAGAGAAGATTACAAGCTTAAATAACTTGACAGTGTTTAAGGCCAATTTAAAAAAAAAATACGAAATTAATTAATAATTTATAAATTAATAATATTTAATCCGTGTTAATCTTCTCCATCCTTAACCATCCTTGTCATCTCCTTTATGGTTTATTATTATCTCTTTTTGTGTTTTTCTACCGTAGTAAACTACTATTCTCAGGTTTCCTTCAATTTTAAGGTTATTTTGTAGGCGGCCAAAATCCCGTGGCTGAGCTCCGTTAAGTTATATTTTGCTGCATTTAAACGTTCCGTACCGTAATAATCACTCGCTAAGGACGCCTTTCTGTTGGTGTACCAAGCTTGTCAGACAATGACAGAATTAACTCTGAACCGCACGCAAAACTTTTTTTATCCTTGTCTACACCAATTAAATCAAAGACAACTGCAGTTTATTGCCATAAGGCTCTTAGCGAGACAACAGAACATTCATTGCACGTGCGTTGTACAGTAACCCTCAAAAGAAACAAGAATATTGTCTCGCGAGACTAGACTCGTATCGCGAGAAGAGGTTCTTGTCTCGAGAAGATCGAGACAACAGACTGTAACCTAGCTTTGTACGGTACTGTACATCTTCCACGTGCGTCCAAGGCTTCGCTCAAAGATAATGTTGGTTTCCCACTATGTGATACGGTACGGCGCGTTTCGCTGTTCGATTGTGGGAAAGTGAGTGGTTTGTGCTAGAATATTTTCAACCAGTCACTTGAAGCAAGCTGTTTCAAGGATAACAGAGGATGATAGAGTAGTCTTGTTTATGCGCATGTAAAAATACGGTGATTAATTAAAGAAATTTAATTAAACCAGTCAGGAGTCGAATTGTTTCTTACTCAATATAATAAGACAACGAAAAATAGATTCTGATAGTTGAGTAGGTGTCTGTAGCCAAATATTGGTATCTCAATATCGGCATACAGTGGAACCATGAAAACGAGTTAGGGTCAAATTTCATGACTGGTCTCAATTAAAGTTGCGTCTTATTTATCGCGATTTGCACTTCTAGACAACTGTTCTTTAATAAGCATTCCTAATGCAGGTATAATTTTTAAAAATTGAAACGAATCGCTACATACAGTATTAACAATGGAAAGATGAACAAAACTAGACTGATTTGAGTGGTCGTATAAACGGGGCAAGATTTTAAGGGATTATACAAGTTGAGTTTTTAGAATGAGGCCGTCGGCCGCATTAACGGGGTTTTCTCATAACAAAATGTATGGGCGTTTCCCCGAGACAAGAAAAGTGGCCCTAATAACGAGGTGGCCGTATTAACTGGGTGGCCACGTTAACGGGGTTTTATAACAAAATGAATGGGGCATTTCGCCCATAACGAGGTGACGTAAGGCGGGGTTCCACTGTATTCTTTTTTAACCAATTTCTATTGTTTCATTAGTCATGTCAGAGGATTTCCTTTGCAAGCGGACATTTCACCATAATTGCTTCTAATCTCGCAATCTGATTGGCTAATTTGCCGTTGTCGATAAGAGTCCAGACAACGTTGCTCGCGTCAGTGTGTCACGCAATGCCTTTTGCAGCGGGCGCTCTGGAAAGAACATTTTCTTTGACGTTGATAATGTGGTAAAAAACAAATCGAAATGTGGTTTAGCGTGGTCTGTACTTTTATTCGATCGATTTGTTAAATATACCATTTTCGTATTCTCGGTATTGGCCTGGGACTAGCTTGCAATTGAGGCTAATGCGGGGAGTCTCAAATGCAAATGACCGTCATCTCTTTTTACTGATCAGTCCCCCGGATGAGCCTCCCTTGCAAACTAGTTCCAATCCAATACCGGGAATACGAAAATGGCCTTATATTTCGATATATTTTTTAATTCTAACTTGGCTCCTCGGCTTGGGGAACAAAATAAAATGTATTCTTTATCCTTCAACCTCGGTGTGATTTCTGTCATTCTATTCCCCCAAGTCTCGGAACTAAGTCAGGATTTATAACATACGAAATTTTAACCTATTTGTGCACGCTAATATTTGGCAGGCCAAATCTTATGTAATCTTTAAAATTTTCATTATTTACCGGGCCAAATCTTCAATATTTGGGGGAAACCTTGGAGGTTGGTCAAACAAATGGTGGAAAAATATTTCAAAAAAAATGCCATTTGGAGGCGTTTTTTTTTTTAAGTCTAGACAGCCATTTGAGAAAATTGTCAGCTATAATTTACAAAATGTCAAATCATAAACCTTTTAAAAAGAACACCTCTAAAACTCGTTTCAACATCTAAGGGATGTTTAATATCATCAATATGCTAAAATCATTCCTGACTTGAATTTTATCGCTTTCCTGAACTAGAGTTGAGGATATTTTCATTTTAAAGGCATTAACATGACCAATTCTATCTTTTTCTTTTCTATTGAGTTCAATTTCACAGCCATGTATGTCACCAATCTTTCTTTGTTTTCTCGTGTTCATTTGTCTTGACAATCTATTCTCAAACTCATTCATAATTCTTCAAATGTAATTTCAACAAAGGAAATCATTAATAACCCTGTTAAGATCTAAATTAGCACTGATTTTCACCATTTTATTTTACCGTTTTAGTTTTAACTGGAGAAGATATATCAAACAATCGGCGAGAGAGTGTTTCACAATATTTCCAAACACCTCGAAGTTCACGACTCGGTGTTTCGAAAATAGTTTGGTCTCTAAAACCTGCAAGAAACCCTCGTTTCTTGGTAACTATTTCACTCTTTAAAGAATGCTACAAAACACAATTGTTTTTGTTTATCACCATAACATACGTAGTGTAATCAGGCGGCATTAATTTTACTTTTGGCAATTTTTCTGAACTGGCAAAACTCTTTAAAAATGAGAACTTATCATCACCTATATTCTACACTGCTAAGTTTATGGAATCGAAAACTGGTAAAACTTGGACTCCTTGTATTTCTTGCTTTTGAAATGGTGGTAATTTTAAAACAAGACGAATCGATGTCTCTGATATTCTACCGGATTGCTTCAAGCTGCACGCGGCAAAATTCAACCCATTTGAATACAGTGACGCTAAACACGAAATCCGCTCTTGCGACGCCGAGGACTCAAAAGTCGGGTTATTTAAACTTACATCTTTGGTCTGATACATGTGCGAGAGATTTGAACATTTTGTGTAATCTGCCAATGTTTCCGAGAGCTCCCGACAGTAGACAGTTGGTTAACAAAGCAGTTATTGCCGATAACCTTACAGATGCAGAAGGAATAAGGCTATTCGGATTTATTAGCCCAGATAAATCTGGATTTTATCTCTTCATTGTTCAATTTTGTTCTGCTGAAGTTTGGCTCAGTCATAACGAGAACTGGAGAAATGCAAGGAAGGTATTCGATTCTGAAAACCAACCGAGGGAACTTCGGTTTTCGGATAAAACTGCTCTGGTAGCTGGAAATAAGTATTTTATTGAAGTCGTCTCCACTTGTTTTCATAGGAGAAACAAAATCCAACTTCTGTGGAAAACCCCAAGCAGTTCTACTTTTGAAATAATTAACGGGTCGTATTTATCGCAATACGTAGATGACACTGGTCGGAATCAGTCCTTGATTTACGATGATTTGTTACCAGATTCGCTCGTTTGTGCCTCAAGAAGGAACAATAGGACATATTTTAAAGCCCAGCCCGAAATAAGCTATTTATCGCACGACGAAGTGAAAGATATTTTACCGTATTGTGAGTACAACCCAAGCTATACCGTAAACTACAAAATGAAGAGGTATGAAGCCGTGACGAGGCATGTTGTCCATTCATTTATTTACCCATTTCCTGAACATATAGACCTTAAAGACCAAAAATATTGGATTTATCCACTGGGAGTAAACGAAGCGAGGAAAGTTGNGTTAAGAAAGTTCTGCAATTTACAGGGTTGCCAATGGTCAGGGGAAAAATTATTCAAGGTCAGGAAAAGGTTGGGGAATTTTATTTTGAGTCAAGGAAAATTAATATTTTGAAGAAAAGTCAGATAAAATTGAAATAATTTAACACGGCTGATTTAACACCATTGAAGGCTGGTAGAAACATTTGGGGTCACGTGATCTCAACGATATTTTTCCCTAATGAAGGAGGAAAATTTGTTGAAAGCTTATTAGTCTTAATGAATGAGTAGAGAGGGCGGCTGTAAGTTGAGGCCAGAAGCCGCTACTAGGTCTGACGTTTTGTATTTGGGTCAGGGAAATCTTATTTTTATCACTGAAAAGTCACGGAGTTTTGAGAAGTGATGTCTGTGGCAACCATGATTTCAGTCTCTCCTCGTTACATTTGTGTTGTTCAGGTTTTGGAGCACATGTCAGGGACAATTTTCAAGTCAAACGAAATTGGAGAAGAGTTCTTCAGAATTGGCCTGACGCATCTGATGTCATTCAAAGAAAACAGGTAATTATTTGAAAACAAAATTAAAGTGTATACCTTAAAAAACGAAAAGACAATTTGATGTCGTTTGTCGTAATTTCCTTGTTCGTCTCTATACGCAAAGGTATTTTTGGCAAGGCTTAAGTCGATGTTAACTGAATATGCAATTGCTAAAAAAACATCCTATTTGGTAATTTCTCTTGCAACTCAATTTTGTTTCACTCTGGAATTTATTGCAACTTGGTTTGCGACAAAATTGCGAGCCAAGTCAGGGGCAAAGTCAATGGGGTAAAATGGGATAAGCGCTCACTCCATGTCTGCCATAAAATTTTTAGTTTGTTGCTGGTTTTCTCAGTCGTTTAAAAAGCGTTGTGCAAAATGTTGACCAATCGACGTGCGACATCACTTCTAGGTGACCAGTTACGGTAAACCTGCCTGGCGCGCGTTCTGCGATGACGTCCGCAGGAAATTAAAAATGTGACCATAGTGGATCTCCCGCAACTGTAAAGAATCGCTTTGCATAGACGGCGTCTTTTTCCACGCACATGCACACTATAAAGGATTGTTTTTGCCGTTTCATTGCAGATTTGTAGTGGAATTCTCGAGTCTCAGGGCGTTCGTGAAGTTTGTGCTACACATACAGCTTGAGCTTCAATCATACCCAGACAGTGTGACATTTACGGTCTCGCCCATGATAGGACGTCTCAGGTTTGCATTCCCAGTGATGTGTTTTTTAATTGCTCTATTTTATTCAAACATCGGAAATCGATGAGCACGTGAATTAAAAGTTTCGCTGTCGTGAATAGCTTCTGGTCACCATTCTTTGTTCTTACATGGATTTTTGTAAAACAAAACTCTATGGTTTTTGCATCAAATCCATATCCAAGTATTACAGTTAACCCTGGGGGCGGGCGATCCTGTAGAGATTACTATACCTAAGCTAGCTTATGTCCTCTTTTCCTTGCAGCCAAACAGAAATCGAAGAAGCCTTGAACGCTGTCGCGGCTGGCCCACGGTATTTGAGCAGATTGGTGGAGGCCGCTGACCAGCTATTAAGCAAGACCAAATCCATTTAAACATGTCGTCATGGAACTGTCGTTTCTTGTTTAGAACGAATGTTGTAAATACATTTATCTGTTAACTTTTTTTACACTCATCCACTACTAATTTATTACTTATGCTATATTTCCCAAGAAGTTATAATTATACTTCTCTAGGTTTATTTTGGGTCGGTCTTTGATGAAGTAAGTTGAATATGAACATTGTTTTAAGCACGTACCCAGTGTTGTGGTTACTTTAACACTGCAACATGCTTATATCTCACTGAACTAATGTGGAGAGATGTACGGAAGATTTTCATTTCTGCATTTGAAACAATATTTGGGTGAACTCGTACAAGCACTGTAAGAGAAGATTACAAGCTTAAATAACTTGACAGTGTTTAAGGCCAATTTAAAAAAAAAATACGAAATTAATTAATAATTTATAAATTAATAATATTTAATCCGTGTTAATCTTCTCCATCCTTAACCATCCTTGTCATCTCCTTTATGGTTTATTATTATCTCTTTTTGTGTTTTTCTACCGTAGTAAACTACTATTCTCAGGTTTCCTTCAATTTTAAGGTTATTTTGTAGGCGGCCAAAATCCCGTGGCTGAGCTCCGTTAAGTTATATTTTGCTGCATTTAAACGTTCCGTACCGTAATAATCACTCGCTAAGGACGCCTTTCTGTTGGTGTACCAAGCCTGTCAGACAATGACAGAATTAACTCTGAACCGCACGCAAAACACTTTTTTTATCCTTGTCTACACCAATTAAATCAAAGACAACTGCAGTTTATTGCCATAAGGCTCTTAGCGAGACAACAGAACATTCATTGCACGTGCGTTGTACAGTAACCCTCAAAAGAAACAAGAATATTGTCTCGCGAGACTAGACTCGTATCGCGAGAAGAGGTTCTTGTCTCGAGAAGATCGAGACAACAGACTGTAACCTAGCTTTGTACGGTACTGTACATCTTCCACGTGCGTCCAAGGCTTCGCTCAAAGATAATGTTGGTTTCCCACTATGTGATACGGTACGGCGCGTTTCGCTGTTCGATTGTGGGAAAGTGAGTGGTTTGTGCTAGAATATTTTCAACCAGTCACTTGAAGCAAGCTGTTTCAAGGATAACAGAGGATGATAGAGTAGTCTTGTTTATGCGCATGTAAAAATACGGTGATTAATTAAAGAAATTTAATTAAACCAGTCAGGAGTCGAATTGTTTCTTACTCAATATAATAAGACAACGAAAAATAGATTCTGATAGTTGAGTAGGTGTCTGTAGCCAAATATTGGTATCTCAATATCGGCATACAGTGGAACCATGAAAACGAGTTAGGGTCAAATTTCATGACTGGTCTCAATTAAAGTTGCGTCTTATTTATCGCGATTTGCACTTCTAGACAACTGTTCTTTAATAAGCATTCCTAATGCAGGTATAATTTTTAAAAATTGAAACGAATCGCTACATACAGTATTAACAATGGAAAGATGAACAAAACTAGACTGATTTGAGTGGTCGTATAAACGGGGCAAGATTTTAAGGGATTATACAAGTTGAGTTTTTAGAATGAGGCCGTCGGCCGCATTAACGGGGTTTTCTCATAACAAAATGTATGGGCGTTTCCCCGAGACAAGAAAAGTGGCCCTAATAACGAGGTGGCCGTATTAACTGGGTGGCCACGTTAACGGGGTTTTATAACAAAATGAATGGGGCATTTCGCCCATAACGAGGTGACGTAAGGCGGGGTTCCACTGTATTCTTTTTTAACCAATTTCTATTGTTTCATTAGTCATGTCAGAGGATTTCCTTTGCAAGAGGACATTTTACCATAATTGCTTCTAATCTCGCAATCTGATTGGCTAATTTGCCGTTGTCGATAAGAGTCCAGACAACGTTGCTCGCGTCAGTGTGTCACGCAATGCCTTTTGCAGCGGGCGCTCTGGAAAGAACATTTTCTTTGACGTTGATAATGTGGTAAAAAACAAATCGAAATGTGGTTTAGCGTGGTCTGTACTTTTATTCGATCGATTTGTTAAATATACCATTTTCGTATTCTCGGTATTGGCCTGGGACTAGCTTGCAATTGAGGCTAATGCGGGGAGTCTCAAATGCAAATGACCGTCATCTCTTTTTACTGATCAGTCCCCCGGATGAGCCTCCCTTGCAAACTAGTTCCAGTCCAATACCGGGAATACGAAAATGGCCTTATATTTCGATATATTTTTTAATTCTAACTTGGCTCCTCGGCTTGGGGAACAAAATAAAATGTATTCTTTATCCTTCAACCTCGGTGTGATTTCTTTCATTCTATTCCCCCAAGTCTCGGAACTAAGTCAGGATTTATAACATACGAAATTTTAACCTATTTGTGCACGCTAATATTTGGCAGGCCAAATCTTATGTAATCTTTAAAATTTTCATTATTTACCGGGCCAAATCTTCAATATTTGGGGGAAACCTTGGAGGTTGGTCAAACAAATGGTGGAAAAATATTTCAAAAAAAATGCCATTTGGAGGCGTTTTTTTTTAAGTCTAGACAGCCATTTGAGAAAATTGTCAGCTATAATTTACAACATGTCAAATCATAAACCTTTTAAAAAGAACACCTCTAAAACTCGTTTCAACATCTAAGGGATGTTTAATATCATCAATATGCTAAAATCATTTCTGACTTGAATTTTATCGCTTTCCTGAACTAGAGTTGAGGATATTTTCATTTTAAAGGCATTAACATGACCAATTCTATCTTTTTCTTTTCTATTGAGTTCAATTTCACAGCCATGTATGTCACCAATCTTTCTTTGTTTTCTCGTGTTCATTTGTCTTGACAATCTATTCTCAAACTCATTCATAATTCTTCAAATGTAATTTCAACAAAGGAAATCATTAATAACCCTGTTAAGATCTAAATTAGCACTGATTTTCACCATTTTATTTTACCGTTTTAGTTTTAACTGGAGAAGATATATCAAACAATCGGCGAGAGAGTGTTTCACAATATTTCCAAACACCTCGAAGTTCACGACTCGGTGTTTCGAAAATAGTTTGGTCTCTAAAACCTGCAAGAAACCCTCGTTTCTTGGTAACTATTTCACTCTTTAAAGAATGCTACAAAACACAATTGTTTTTGTTTATCACCATAACATACGTAGTGTAATCAGGCGGCATTAATTTTACTTTTGGCAATTTTTCTGAACTGGCAAAACTCTTTAAAAATGAGAACTTATCATCACCTATATTCTACACTGCTAAGTTTATGGAATCGAAAACTGGTAAAACTTGGACTCCTTGTATTTCTTGCTTTTGAAATGGTGGTAATTTTAAAACAAGACGAATCGATGTCTCTGATATTCTACCGGATTGCTTCAAGCTGCACGCGGCAAAATTCAACCCATTTGAATACAGTGACGCTAAACACGAAATCCGCTCTTGCGACGCCGAGGACTCAAAAGTCGGGTTATTTAAACTTACATCTTTGGTCTGATACATGTGCGAGAGATTTGAACATTTTGTGTAATCTGCCAATGTTTCCGAGAGCTCCCGACAGTAGACAGTTGGTTAACAAAGCAGTTATTGCCGATAACCTTACAGATGCAGAAGGAATAAGGCTATTTGGATTTATTAGCCCAGATAAATCTGGATTTTATCTCTTCATTGTTCAATTTTGTTCTGCTGAAGTTTGGCTCAGTCATAACGAGAACTGGAGAAATGCAAGGAAGGTATTCGATTCTGAAAACCAACCGAGGGAACTTCGGTTTTCGGATAAAACTGCTCTGGTAGCTGGAAATAAGTATTTTATTGAAGTCGTCTCCACTTGTTTTCATAGGAGAAACAAAATCCAACTTCTGTGGAAAACCCCAAGCAGTTCTACTTTTGAAATAATTAACGGGTCGTATTTATCGCAATACGTAGATGACACTGGTCGGAATCAGTCCTTGATTTACGATGATTTGTTACCAGATTCGCTCGTTTGTGCCTCAAGAAGGAACAATAGGACATATTTTAAAGCCCAGCCCGAAATAAGCTATTTATCGCACGACGAAGTGAAAGATATTTTACCGTATTGTGAGTACAACCCAAGCTATACCGTAAACTACAAAATGAAGAGGTATGAAGCCGTGACGAGGCATGTTGTCCATTCATTTATTTACCCATTTCCTGAACATATAGACCTTAAAGACCAAAAATATTGGATTTATCCACTGGGAGTAAACGAAGCGAGGAAAGTTGTTGACGTTTTTGCAGAGTCCTTCCACAAGAGAATGCCAGGGTGGGTGAGATATATTTTCAGTGAAATGTTTGTTGTGAGGAGACGTAGAATAATTAGTCGGGCGGTCGCGCTCCCAGCCTCCAGGATTTCGCGCGGCCATTTTTTTCTCGCGAATTTCTTTGGCGTCACGCACGACGGACTAAGCGAAAGAGGGACTACTCGTAGTCTAAGGAGGAAACTTGCTGCAAGCAAACTTATTTCTTCTTTTAGTCAACCTATTTTGAAATTCCCTCGGCACTGCATCTCGCCCCGATCCTACGAATAGATTTTAATACTGCCGATATGAGGTAGCTATTAACGCTAAAGTGATATATCGCTTTGCAACGTATAGGTTCGGCGTGATTTTGTAATCTGAGATTTCTGTTGACCTTGAAGAAACAAGGTTTGGCGAGTAAACATTACCGATTGCGTAATTCAAAGTTGGCCGAGTGGACATCTACGTCTGGTCTCCGACAAAAAAAAAATTAAAAAAAATAAACCAAGAGTAGAACATGAACCGCGCTCGGCCCATGGCCGCGCGGTTAATAATCTTAATGTTCTTAGCTCCTTAGTTCCTCGACGAAACGTGTTAAAATAAATGATTGATTGATTAGTACGTATAAATCTACTAGTCGTTTTTATTTCTTGAATTTTGTACCATTTGGCTTTCCATACACGGAAGCCGCCGACAAGATCCATGGAAACTATTCGATGGCCTGTAAAATGTAACGTCATAAAAATATATTATTAGCTTATGAAAGATGAAATGAAGCATGTAAACGTACACCATATAGACGAGCAGAGCTGCAACAAAACCGGCCGAATACCATGCCACTCATTGATAGGAACATTTGAAACAGACTGGAAAATGAAAGCGAATCATCATATAGTCTTCATTCCTTCATCTATGTGGAAGCCAAAATGTGCAATAGTTGTACTGCTTCTAATTCTAGGTTTCGAACTTGGGACTTTTATCAAATTTGACGCGTTGGCATTCTCTATATCCAAGGGACAGCAAATCCTTGCTCGATTTGCAAGGCAAGGGCCGAATGATCCGCAAAAAGCAACTATAACTTTGGCAAAGAGAGGGCATTTAAACTTGCATCTGTTTACTGAGACATGTGCAGCAGATTTGAACATTCTGTGTAATTTTCCAATGTTTCCTAAAGCCCCGGATAATAGGCTTTTATTAAACACGACAAAACTTACCAAAGGCTCAACCGGAGTAGGGGCCGGTATAAGACTGTTTGGATACATCACCCCAGCCAAATCTGGCTTGCACATGTTCACCGTAAAATTTTGTCAGGCTGAAGTTTGGCTCAGTCACAACGAGAATTTGAAACATTTAAGAAAGATATCGGACACTGGAAATTTCTCAAAACAGGAAATCGGACTGATAGCTGGACAGAATTATTTTATCGAAGTCGTGGCTACTTGTTTTCGTCAACGAAACCAAATTCAACTTCTGTGGAAGACTCCAGTGAGCTCAGTCTTTGAAATCATCAATGGAACTTTTTTAACTCCCTTTGTGGACGACAGTGGCTTGAATTCCAAGATCTACGATGGATTACTGCCAGATTCTTCTGTTTGCACTTCAAGGAGGTATAAAACTACATATTTCCAAGTTCATCAGGAAATAAGCTATTTATCGCACGATGAAGTGCAAGATATCTTACCGTACTGTGACTACAATCCAAGTTATACTGTCAAGAAAAGAATAAAACACTATCAAGCGATAAGTCGTTATCATGTTGGCACATTTGTTTACCCTTTTCCTGACGATAAAAACCTTAAAAATGCGAATGATTGTCCACTCAACAAAGACGAAGCCTTGGAAGTTGTGCGTATTTTTATGGAATCGTTTGAGGAGAAAATGTTAGGGTAGGTGAAGTCATCTGTGGTAGATTTTATATATCTTATTAATAATTTCTCCACACTGAGCGTTGTCTTTCCAACGGTGAACTTATTGCATTTTGAAAATATAAAATCCGCTTTTTT